AAGTATTTTTTTTTCTTTCGAGTGATCTATTGAAAAGCAACTAGATGGCACGTAACTTCAGTTGCTGAGGTGAATTCTAACGACATTGTCATTTCGTTGTCCTAGCTAAACATTGATTTCCTTTAACATTTGGTACAGTTAAGTGTTTTTCGATAAAAATGGTTCCATTCACTTGTTTTCAATACTTTTTGGAGTTAACAAACATGCGTGATCTTGAAGAACAAATAATACGCGAAATCACTGAGCAGGTTCTACTTGAACTTGTAGCTATAGAAATTTGAAATACAATAAAGACGCTTTGTAAAACACAGTATGTACGCTGGCAACATGGTTATTCAATAGCTTGTAGTGTCGCTTTAATATAAGAAGAAGAAAGAAAAAAACAATCAGTGACAAATCTTTTATTCTTCCTCTAACTGATTGCGAATTGAAACTAAAATGGCTTGTGAAAAGATTCGGTTGTATTTCACGAAAAAACGTTCTGTAAGCTCACATTAAACCAAGGGAGATCAATAAAGGGAGAATAAAGAACGTCAAATCCTGTAGATGAATATTTAAAACAAAACGTTAGCTCCGTGATTGTTAAGTCCCCAGTTTTGTCTTTTAAACATTTCTTTAAATGATCTACTTTTGTAAAAATTTTAAGGACTTCGAAACACGAGTTCCCAGAAAACTCGAGCGGAAGGTTCGATTCCACGGGATAGACAGAGCGCAGATACCCCACTGTTCCGACTGTGAAACCGTTCACCTAGGATTAAGCAAATCCCTTTTTATGCTTTTGTCGACAACTTTGTTTGTTTGTTTGAAGTTAAGCACAAAGCTACACATTGGGCTATCTGTGCTCTGCCCACCACGGGTATCGAAACCCGGATTCTAGCGTTGTAAGTCCGCAGACATACCGCTGTGCTACTGGGGGGCATTTTTCGACAAGTAAAATCGATTGCCAAATAGAAAATAAAATCCCCTAAAGATTAATCCGATTGTGAAACCGTTCACCTAGGATTAAGCAAATCTCTTTTTATGCTTTTGTCGACAAGTAAAATCGATTGCCAAATAGAAAATAAAATCCCCTAAAGATTAATATGACTGTGAAACCGTTCACTGCTATTATAAGAATCCTCTAGAAATCCTCACGGAGATGGATTAGCTGGGGATATTAACAGTTTTTTTTATATATACCACACCAGCGTAAACAATTTTCAAGAGCTTCGATGAATCTATGATGAAAAACTTTCACCTTTGTGAACGGACTATTCTCCAAAGTCTTCAACCCTGCTTTTTTTCTTCGATTTTGAAAAATTCTGAATCAATTAAAATATAAATTGTCCTGATTATCAAAAGTTAAAAAAAATATGATGAATTAAAGCAGGGGTATTTGATGGATAATTATTTGTGAGAAATGAGGGTAGCATTATAGAAAAAGTCTGACTTTGCTAACCCTAAGATTGTCATCGATGATGCAGCCCCCCCAGTAGCTTAGTAGTAACTTGGGGACTTATGATGCTAGTAATAGAGGTTCGATCTTTACAGTAGGCATTACGGGCGTTGCTTTGTGCTTAGCAGCAAGAACAAAAAATAAGCACAATCAGTGCTTATAAGATACTATGCAAACAGTGTATACATTATTCAAATAAGAGTCAGAAATATATAGACTTGCTGTAGAAAATCCAATTAATGTAACATCCTACATAGAGAAATACAAATATCACAAACTGTAAAAAAAATAATATTTAAAAAAATTACGATTCTGAAAAAGACCCTACACATATTAGTGAAAAATATATCCAGGTAATGTATAAAGCTGATTAATCTTTAGGGGATTTTATTTTCTATTTGGCAATCGATTTTACTTGTCGACAAAAGCATAAAAAGGGTTTGCTTAATCCTAGGTGAACGGTTACACAATCGGATTAATCTTTAGGGGATTTTATTTTCTATTTGGCAATCGATTTTACTTGTCGACAAAAGCATAAAAAGGGGTTTGCTTAATCCTAGGTGAACGGTTACACAATCGGATTAATCTTTAGGGGATTTTATTTTCTATTTGGCAATCGATTTTACTTGTCGACAAAAGCATAAAAAGGGGT